AAAAGATTGCCACCTCTTTCTCCTGTAAGTACAAGATTTTGGAAATAGCCTACGCAGTTGGTCTGCCCTACTACTGCTGCTAACAGCTATAGCAAGTCACGAGTACACCTGGCCGATGGGGAAGGTGGAGCTGGAGGAGAGTGAGTGGTGCCACTTTCATTTACCTTGTAATGAAGGTTCCAAATCTATTAAGCCCTTACTTATTCCCTCTGCTGTCGACACTGAGGGACTGCAACTTGGAGGTGTTTGGAAGGAATCCTGCAAAGAAAGTGGAAGATAGTGTGTGCCAAAAAAAGATTTTGGAAATAGCCTAAGCTTCAGATTCTTTAGCAGTTGGTCCACCCTACTACTGCTGCTAACAGCTATAGCAAGTCACGAGTACACCTGGCTGATGGGGAAGGTGAAGCTGGAGGAAAGTGAGTGGTGCCACTTTCATTTACCTTGTAATGAAGGTTCCAAATCTATTAAGCCCTTACTTATTCCCTCTGCTGTCGACACTGAGGGACTGCAACTTGGAGGTGTTTGGAAGGAATCCTGCAAAGAAAGTGGAAGATAGTGTGTGCCAAAAAGTCTTTAATGTGAGTCTTCTGCCAGCAGCTGTATGGTCATTCTGCCCACACACCCCTGGGGCTCACCTCGCAGCAGCTTTTTCCAAGTGTTTAACTCTGGAGTGAAGATGTGTTTCCGCTACAGTAGTTATATGCCCTGTACCCACCAATGTGTGAGTAACAAACAGTGGGACTTTGGTGGAAAAGCTGTGTATCTCCACCCCACACCTTTTGATCTGGCATTAAAATAATTTTACCATTCAGAAACAGGAACAGGCCATACCCATTTAATGGGCTGAACTTATTCAAAACTTGGTTTCAGTAAATACGGGGCATGCGTGTGCATTTAAATTCTACTTCTTATTTCTGTAAAAGTAGAGCTGAAAACATAAGTCTTTAATGTGAGTCTTCTGCCAGCAGCAGAGTGAGTGGTATTTTGGAAATAGCCTACGCAGTTGGTCTGCCCTACTACTGCTGCTAACAGCTATAGCAAGTCACGAGTACACCTGGCCGATGGGGAAGGTGGAGCTGGAGGAGAGCGAGTGGTGCCACTTTCATTTACCTTGTAATGAAGGTTCCAAATCTATTAAGCCCTTACTTATTCCCTCTGCTGTCGACACTGAGGGACTGCAACTTGGAGGTGTTTGGAAGGAATCCTGCAAAGAAAGTGGAAGATAGTGTGTGCCAAAAAGTCTTTAATGTGAGTCTTCTGCCAGCAGCAGAGTGAGTGGTCAGTAGTTCTTTCCTTTCAGGACATATATAAACAGGAATGTTTTATATTTTGTGGACTGTGCTTTACACCTGCACAGGATTTATCCTGATCTTTGAGGTGCCTATTTGTCACTATTGTAATAATTTTCATCTGGACAAAGCAGTTTTCAGTAATACCTGAAAATGAAAGGTGAGATAAATGTACCAGGTGAAACTGTTCTGTCAAAAGGACCAGCAAACCTCATCAACCAGTTAATAAGCAGCTCCCAGGGAACGTTTTTACTCATAAGGGCACCAGGCAAAACTCAACAAGCAGGGCCTTTTGTGATTAATTGCTGCTCTTCATGAAATATTTCAACCTTTTCAATGCATGTTTGTGTGTGCATCCGTACTGACTTTTAGTGCCCACAACATGAAAGAGGTGCTCTCTAATTGTGGAAGAAAACCACCCTTAGGTCTTCTATTGGGGCATTGTTTTTAATGTTTCAACATAATAAAGGGTAAAACTTTCACTCTCTGCCCCTGGAAAAATATCCACATTGACTGCAAGGAAAAGGACTTCTGCATTAATTTTTCCGTATTTTCATACCTTTTGCTGGAAGACAGCTTTTCAGTGAGAGTTTCTAATTGAACTTTTCCCAGGTAAGTAGTTGAATGCGGATAGCAAATTCAGTTTCTTAAATAAATATATTCTCTATGGACACTTTTGGTTCCAGTTATAGAAGCAGCAGATTTTACTGTGTACTTGTATTAGAGTGATTTCTAATCAACAGGGTTTTTAATTTACTTTTTTTTTTTTAAGACATCTGCTTTCTTTCAGCCCTGGCTTCATCTCTTTTGGTTGTAAATGTCGTGCTTAGGATGCTTACACTTCTTTTTCCTCTATTTCAAGGCACAAGTCTTCAACTTTTCTTTTTCTGGGTTTCTTTCCAGGGTGATACTTCAGGCGACTACCGGAAAATCCTACTCAAGTTGTGTGGTGGAAATGACTAAATGGAGCATTGAGCTTTTCTTAAAAAAGCTGCTATTTTCTTGTTTTTGTTTTAAAGCATTTTTTTTACTTCTCCAGAAGTAAATATGTAATGACCTGTTTCTCGTAAAGCAATTAAAATTTTAAAGATAATATTGCATATGTATCTTCCCTTTAGTTCAGAAATAGTGGGTAATAAATGCCAAAAAAACATGAATATCAAGCTTATGTGCCATCTGCTCAGGATTCTGTATTGTACTCTCAGCAATCTATGAAAGACAGGTCATTATTTCTTTTCTGCTTATGTTATGCTGAAATGATGTTTTTGTTTTATGGAACAAAAATCAAAGTTGTGTGATTTAAGGTTCTATTTTGTCTAAACATTACGTCCCATTTTAATGCACATTTTCTATATATATTGTATGCAGAGTTGGTTTCATGCTGGCCTCCTCCCTGATACGTGGAGAGAACAGCCTTGAGTTTTTGTGTCTGAGTAAGACTGTTTTAAAAAGGTTTTGTCAAGTTCTGTTTTCTTTCCTTGATTGTTTTTAAGGAAGGTGTGTTCCACATTTCATTCTTGCTAGGGCAACTGTCACAAGGCAGTGGTAACGTTGGCATTAGTAAAGATTCTATGGTTCATGTTTTCAGGTTTTGGATTGTGCCTTAAATATATGTATGTAAGAAGAGATTATGAAATTAAAGCTGTCATTTTCTATATATATTGTATGCAGAGTTGGTTTCATGCTGGCCTCCTCCCTGATACGTGGAGAGAACAGCCTTGAGTTTTTGTGTCTGATTAAGACTGTTTTAACGAAGTTTTGTGAAGTTCTGTTTTCTTTCCTTGATTGTTTTTAAGGACATTTCATTCTTGCTAGGGCAACTGTCACAAGGCAGTGGTAACGTTGGCATTAGTAAAGATTCTATGGTTCATGTTTTCAGGTTTTGGATTGTGCCTTAAATATATGTATGTAAGAAGAGATTATGAAATTAAAGCTATCTTCAAACTCTTTGCAGACTATGCTTTTTTTGGTGTTTATGTTGATTTACATATGAGTGATGACATGGTTTATGGAACTTAGCTTTTCCATAGAGGTTCTCTGCTTGCATCCACAGAATTATTCAGAAATGGTTGTGTTGACAAGAGTTTGGGACTTGTGTGCTGTTGATGAGCAGTTGTCTGTGCACAATCTATAGAATCTGTAGTTATTGCTCGTTTTCAGGTTTTGGATTGTGCCTTAAATATATGTATGTAAGAAGAGATTATGAAATTAAAGCTGTCTATCTTCAAACTCTTTGCAGACTATGCTTTTTTTGGTGTTTATGTTGATTTACATGAGAGTGATGACATGGTTTATGTAATTAGCTTTTCCATAGAGGTTCTCTGCTTGAATCCACAGAATTTTTCAGAAATGGTTGTGTTGACAAGAGTTTGGGACTTGTGTGCTGTTGATGAGCAGTTGTCTGTACATGATATATGGAATCTGTAGTTATTGCTCAGTATTTTCATTTTGATTTACATATGAGTGATGACATGGTTTATGGAACTTAGCTTTTCCATAGAGGTTCTCTGCTTGCATCCACAGAATTATTCAGAAATGGTTGTGTTGACAAGAGTTTGGGACTTGTGTGCTGTTGATGAGCAGTTGTCTGTGCACAATCTATAGAATCTGTAGTTATTGCTCGGTATTTTCATTTTGCATGTTGCAACTTCTCTGATTCTTGGAACTCTGAATTTTTCTCTCTGCTAGCATGGATGACATCTCTTCAGCTTGTCATTTTCAAAGCAGAAATGCTTAAAGAAAAAGAACTCTTTGCAGACTATGCTTTTTTTGGTGTTTATGTTGATTTACATATGAGTGATGACATGGTTTATGGAACTTAGCTTTTCCATAGAGGTTCTCTGCTTGCATCCACAGAATTATTCAGAAATGGTTGTGTTGACAAGAGTTTGGGACTTGTGTGCTGTTGATGAGCAGTTGTCTGTACATGATATATGGAATCTGTAGTTATTGCTCAGTATTTTCATTTTGCATGTTGCAACTTCTCTGACTCTTGGAACTCTGAATTTTACTCTCTGCTAGCATGGATGACATCTCTTCAGCTTGTCATTTTCAAAGCAGAAATGCTTAAAGAAAAAGAAAGTGCAAGATGGGGGAAGAGGTTTGGAGCTGGGTCAGTGAAAATAGCTTGTTAATCAACAATGTGCAAACTCCTTCTCTAATTTCACACACACGCGTGCACACTCTCTCGCCATTCTGTAAAGGTCAGGCAGGTCCTTTTCCCTTGCAGAGGTTGTGGTGGTGTTTGTCATGGAAGAAAATGAGGGTGTCGTGGGGATGGATGTTGGGATGAATTCTGGCTTCTGTTATCATTATGGCAAGGGGGAACAGTATAAAGATACCAGAATAAGGTGGCTGTGCATCCAGACTATGAATTCTGACTGGGACGTGCAGATAGGACTCATGTTTCGGTTAGTAGCAGCAATATGACCCCATCCAAAGCCATTCTACTCCATACATTCATTTTGTCTCACAATCTAGGCGTATCTTGAGAGGAAGTTTCAGCTGAAAGTGTCTCTTCATTCATTTACACCAATACCCAGCCACTTCTTTGGCAGGGAAGGAGCAAGCTTTTGAATTGAGGGAAGTTTGTTAGTTGTGCTTTCATCCCGGACCCCAACTGATCCTGTCTTCTTACTGCAAGTGCTGTGTTTGAAATGCAGTTTTGACTAATTAGGGCTGCTGAAAGATTTAAAATATAACACTTTGAAATACTGTCTAAAAGCAAATACCTTTTTATTATAAAGCACTGGAATACAGAAGGCAAACTACAGCTGAGGATTGTTCATCCCTGCTCAAATTCTGGAAACACAAGTTTATTACAGGAACAAAAGTGCAACAGTTTATGACGGCCATGCTGTTACATTCGGCTGTCTTCTGTCTTCAGGGCACTCAGCTGGTATCTGGATAGACAAGAGTTGATGTGATTATTTTTGGTTATCATATCGGGATCAATTTTTGTAGATAAACATCATTTAAAACATGAATCCTGCTACTTTAAAGTGGAGACTTGTCACTTTGAGTCACCAAATCACAGAAGGAAGGTCCTAGAGCTCTGCAATTCTTAAGCCATTTGGCAGTTTTTGCAAACTCTATCTCAGTAGTACTTACTAGAGATGTGCTGCAAATATGCTGAGGCTGACTTAGGGTTTCCATTTTAAATTCACAGTAACACTTTACTAGAATAATTTTCTTTTTAAAATAAATTATCATTGCAGGGGAATAACTTAATTGTTACCTATTAACTGCCTCTCATAGAAAACTGGAAGTGTTAATGAAAAGTAGAGTTGGTGAGAACATATCATGGTGACCAGATCCATCCAGGCAACTGCAAGAACTAAAAACCAACCTAAGCTTCACTGCTGTCTGCTTTGAGCCTGCCTTATGTCATGTAAGTGCACTATAGTACACATGTGTGTATGTAGACAAACAACTTATGTCATGTAAGTGCACTATAGTACACACGTGTGTATGTAAACAAACAAAAACCCAGCACTGACAAAACTCACTTCATAAACGTGTCTATGGATGCTCATACCTTTTAATTTTCCAACAGGAGTCTCTCTCACCTTGTTAAATGCACTATTGATATTTGGGCAGAGAATGAAAAGGACCAAGCATTGTAAGAAGCTGTGTAGAATAGGTGGTCTCATGCAAGGAATTTCTTTTGTGGTTTAATTTATTCAAAAAACATTTATCCAGGAGCATGTTTTGTGTGAAGGGCTTGTGTGTCAAAATGGGGTTTAAGACACTAAAATGATAATACTTCAATAACTTTTTTTGTGGTTTGTTGCCCTCCTTTGTTTTATCTGTCACACATGAAACTAAAGAATCACAGGGTCTTTAAACTGAAATAGATCTTGAGATTGCTTGGTCCATCCTTAGCTCATCACATCCCAAGGTGGGATGCTTGTTTAACATTTCCAGTGCTGGGCAAACTACAGTCATGTCATTTCAGTGATTCACTGTCCTCGTAAGACAGCTTTGCGTTGTGTTTTGCTTGAGTCTTTCATGTTGCATTATTTCTTGTTTTATTCACTTTTGCAATGGGGCAGAAAACACAGCTTTCTTCGTTGTGGCAGCCTTGCTCGTTCTGGTGAGCTACTTTGATGTTCTTTAGACTAAACATCCCCAATTTAACAACCTTTTTGTTGTAGCTCATCTATCTAGCTCTGGCTGAGGTTTTGTGTGTTTGGTGGGTTTTTTCCTCTGTTCTTCCACCCCAACCTTTTTGTTGTAGCTTATTTATTTAGCGCTGGCTGAGGTTTTGTGTGTTTGGTGGGTTTTTTCCTTTGTTCTTTCCCCCCCGTTTTTAGTGATTGTTGAAACCTGGTGTTCAAAACTGGACCCAGCATTTCAGCCGAGGCCTTAGCTGTGCTGGGCTGAATGAAGAAATTGCTTCACATCATGGGGGAAGAAAAAAACACAGCTTTCTTCGTTGTGGCAGCCTTGCTCGTTCTGGTGGGCTACTTTGATATTCTTTAGACTAAACATCCCCAATTTAACAACCTTTTTGTTGTAGCTCATCTATCTAGCTCTGGCTGAGGTTTTGTGTGTTTGGTGGGTTTTTTCCTCTGTTCTTCCACCCCTGTTTTTAGTAATTGTTGAAACCTGGTGTTCAAAACTGGACCCAGCATTTCAGCTGAGGCCTTAGCTGCGCTGGGCTGAATGATGGAATTACTTCACCTCATGGGGGGAGAAGAGATGGCATATTTGGTCATAACCTGTGCAACACTGTCTTCAACTTCAGTTATATCCCACTTGATACTTACCATCAAAAATGTCAATAAGAGGGGTTCCTGGAGCGATGGGGATATTCGATGTTGTCTCACCGATGATGTTGAGGAGTGACTTGACTTCTGATTCTAGATGCTCCACTGTTTTTATTACCTTCTAATGAAGACAAGGGAGACAAACAAAGAAAGGCATTAGTCAATGGGTCAAGTGGAAGGAATTGTAATAAATGTGTCAGCGGAGGTGCAAATCTAATGTCCCCTAATGCCAACAGGTAATTTTATTTATATTGCGCAGTGCAGATTTAAATATTTCCTCTGTTATGCTGGCCTCTGGTGGCAGGAAGTATTAAAACTTTATTTCACAACAGTTAAATTACGGAACCACATCATAATTTGACTTCTTGGAGGGAGCTTTGCATTAATTTCTTTGTAATTCTATCTCAATTCTGAGCCACCATTATATCCAAGAAAAGAATCTGCACGGAAGATGAGAGGAGCTGATGGGTGGAAAAAAGAGGGCTGGCACTAGAGCAGGAGAGAGGTAACATTACCATTTGAGAATCAACAGCATGCAGTTTGGCAGCTGGAAATAGTTAGCACTGGACATGCAAAACAACAACAAAAAAACCCCAAAATCAACTTTGCAGACTTCCTAGAATCCCGGTCATAGAGTTCATTCATGTAGCCCTTGGGTATCTGCAGGAGTGAGCAGGAACTCCTCCATCAGCCTTGGAGTCACCTCCAGAATTCGTATCTAGCCATAAGCAGATGTGAAACTTTACAAATACCAGTCCTGAGATTGTTATATTAAAGGCACCATTATAAACATTTTGGAAAAGGCTGATCTGTAATATTCAGTGATTAGTTAATCAGTTGTTTGGAATTCATTAAGATTATATGGTTTTGGTAGTAATGGTTTTATGGATAGTTATAAATCATGACATCTAAAATAAATAGTCAGGCCTTGAATAGAAAAACATCAAGAAGTGACTGTGTCTAGAAATATCATTCTTCTTTCTTTTCTTTGGTCAAAAGGATGGGGCAGAGGTCTGGTAAGGTCCAGGAACCAGTGCAACAGCTCTTACCTCTTCGATAATATCTAAGCGTTCATGGATTGTATCATGTTCATTACACCAGCTTCCTCTTCCCAAACTTCCAGGTAACACACTGTCAGGGTCTGCAGCAGCTGGAAAAACAGCCACAGTTAATTAGCAGGAGCTTTTTAATAGCAGTCCTTACCTTTCTGACTTCGGAAGTGGTGTTTTGCATGCTAAACAGCATTGTTTAGGAAACCAAATGTAGGAGTCCCAGGTAGACATTGAACTTCTCTCCCAACAACTACGGCTATTACCCAGTGCTGTGAATGTCTCTCTGCCTGTACACCTTGTCAACAAAAAAACCCAAACAAAACAAAAAAAAAATCCCTATGGCAAGAGGTTGTTTGGTTTTTTTTGTGTTTGTTTTAGACAATGTGGTTTTTTTCTGCCCGTGTAAGGTAAGTTTACAGACCACAACTCTGTCTCTACAAGTATAAAACCTAAGCATTGGGAAGTTCTGCTTACACACCGGTTCCTAGTAGGCTTTCTTCAGAAGCAGTTGGTGCGGTAAAGCTCTGAAGAGCAGCTAAGTTTGTCCACTTATGCCCCAAATGGATACAAGCTGGTGATTCCACTGTGCCAGAAACTTGTCCATAACAGTCTGATTTTGCAATGGGAAGGCAAACAATGAACGTGTGTACAGCTGATGCCATTTGCTGACCAAGTCACTGGTATATGGTGCTACAGACGAAGTTGCTTATCTCTGTCAGTTATCTGTATTTACCTCTCAGTACTCGTGAACTCTTGCTCTTTGAACATTTCACTCTGCTGGCTCTACTCCACAAGAGGTCACTGCCTGCTGGTGTCTGTGCTTCAACAGAGCCAATTTCCTTTTCATAACCTTTGCAAAGTTCAGTAACATTTAGATTTTAATACATGTGTATAAAACTGTAGCAGAGTATTTTAAACCCCACTGAAGTGACAACATATCTGGCTCCATGTTAGTAAAGTTAGGCCTTGCGCTTGTTTGAGGCCTGAAGAAGCTGTGATAATGAGAAACCAGCAGTAACTCATTCTGTTGTCATTTGATTGTAACAAAGAGGAAACTGTGAGCTTGTGTTATAATGAACAGTAAGAAACGTAAGAAGAGTATCTCATTCTATCTTCAGTACTATTTTTCGAGAGCAGTGGTTTGGAACTGCTGCAGGGCTTCACCGCAGGACTGTGCCAAGATTTCTGGAGCATAGGTATCAGATGATGGCAAACACGTGTCGGTAAGGATTGTAGCCTTTGCAGTTTGATGGGATGAGCGATGTACTCTGACTTGGAATGGCATCCTTGAAATTGGAGGGCGGAGGGCAGGGAGAATGAGAAGATTAACATGTGATCTGATGTACTAGGTGTGGCATTATTTAGAAATTGGTTTGCCAGAGCTTATGAGAGAATTTTTGGTTGTTTATTTGTACTAAGATTTTGATTTGGGGTTGGTTTTTCTTTGGTGCATCGGCCAGGAGATGGTGCTGTTAGGACAGAATCCCAAAGAATCAACCTGTCCACACAAGACTGATGAAATAGGGCAGATACTTAAATACTAGTTGCTTCACAGTTGCTCTTTTTTTCCCCTCTTTGTTGCTGCTGGTGATGTTTTGGGAGTGGTGTTATTTCATAACTTAGTGGTCAAGTCAACCATGCTCCTTCTCAAAATTTTTCTAAGACTGATGAAATAGGGCAGATACTTAAATGCTAGTTACTTCGCAGTTGCCTTTTTTTTCCCCTCTTTGTTGCTTTGTTTTGGGAGTGCTGTTACCTTGTAACTTAGTGGTCAAATCAACCATGCTCCTTCTCAAAATTTTTCCTTATTTACATGTTTTTTCCATGATGGCTGGAACAATATGGAGATCCTGACATGCCATGTCAGAAATGGAGGTTACTGGCTGGAACAATATGGAGATCCTGACATGCTATGTCAGAAATGCAGTTGCCAGTCTTACTCTACAAACCTTGTCTTTCCTAATAATAGGATAATAGCCAGGTAAGCTCCGTTCTACTCTGACAAACCTTGTCTTTCCTAATAATAGGATAATTAACAAGGTAAGCTCCGTTCTACTCTGGGATTAATAAAATTTCCACCTTTCCGATATTCCCAGCTCTACCAGTCAGCATCAAGCCTGATGTCCCCGTTCAGCTGTATGCTGAACTGCTGCTCACCACGTTGGAGAGAGGACCAAGGGGAAGCAGGAGGCATGGCAATGAGGTAACTGCAGATCAGTTGTTGATTGCTGGGAACATTCCCAGATCTAACTACAAATGAACTGTGAAAAAGAGGCAGCAGAAATCATTAGGTGGACTAAGAGCAAGTTGGAAGAATTTAAGAATCCCCCAGGAGGTTATTTCTCACTGTATTAACCTAGCTGTAGATGGCTGGATCACAAGGTTGGATGGAAAGTTTGGGTGAAGGCCAGCACCAGTTGTATGCTGCTGTTGAAGGAGCATTTGGCCAGCTGTAAGTTACATGCCAGGCTTGTTTAGCTTTGTCCATTCCCTAGAAATGGAAAATGCAAGAGAGTTAATGTTGGCTAGCTCAAGTTAGTGTTGGCCACTCCTCTTTCTCTGATCATGCATCTTCTATCATGCTGGCCATTAAAGAAAGCCCAAAGGCCTGCTGTAGGAGAAGCAGAAGATGGCTGGATCACAAGGTTGGATGGAAAGTTTGGGTGAAGGCCAGCACCAGTTGTATGCTGCTGTTGAAGGAGCATTTGGCCAGCTGTAAGTTACATGCCAGGCTTGTTTAGCTTTGTCCATTCCCTAGAAATGGAAAATGCAAGAGAGTTAATGTTGGCTAGCTCAAGTTAGTGTTGGCCACTCCTCTTTCTCTGATCATGCATCTTCTATCATGCTGGCCATTAAAGAAAGCCCAAAGGCCTGCTGTAGGAGAAGCAGAAGTAGGTGCCTTCAGACAGCTACTCTGAATTGGACTCTGATCCAGAGACTCTCTGGCCTTTCCAAACTGCATAATGGCATGATGGGCAGGGGCTCCTTTCACCGTTTTCCTCATGCGGGACCTTAAATCTGCAAAGTGATTTTTTGAAGCAGAAATGATATAAGATCTTACCCCAAATGCCACTGTAATAGTTCCTTGAGCTTAGCCCTTCTGTGTGGAAGAGGATTCTGCTCATCACAAACCTCAGCATTGTGCTGACGGCTACTCTGGGCAGGTGTATGTGGATGGGGAGGTTAGATGGGATGGATGATAGGGTCATTTGTTCAAAGCAGGGTGCACCGTGGTAGGTATGTATAGCCAGTGTAAGGTTGCATCTCACTGTGAGGTTAGCAAAACACTGCACAGCTTTCTGTGCACGTGCCCATCAAGAGAACTATGTGAAGGGGCTGCTGTGAAATGCAGGACATGGTCGTGCTTGGTTCCTTGGGGGGTTGGTTCCCCTCTTCTGACATGGAGAGAGACAGCATTCTGGCACTCGGAGCACATTGCCATGTTATAAACTGTAATGGGCTGACCAAAGTGGGAGGAAATGTCTTGTCCTAGGACTGTAATGTTACCCAGAACCACAGGACTAGTGCAGTGCCTAAAAATTTGACAAATGGTTCAAGCCTAAGTGTTTCAGGAACACCTGACAGCTATTGTCAGTGAGTGGTAAGAGTTAGTAGAAACCAAAGCGTGTCTCCTTCCCAGACCTCACAGTGTGGAGTTGGCTGAGGGCTGACCCAGCAGAAACCCTCTCAGCCAGGGCTGGCATGCCTGTGTCTGGTTAGCCACCTCAACACCAGAGCAGAGGTACTCTTCCACTTGTGATGGCCCCTTCACCACCGCACCAGAACAGGCTACTTCAGGTGGGTGGTTGCTGCTGCTGGCTGGGCAGCCTGTGCTTTAGACAGTGTAGTTTTCTTCTGTTTTCTGAGCCTTGGCTTGAGGCTTTGGCCCCGAACCCCCCTGATTGTTATTTTGTTGTCTGGCTTGAGCTCTTAACCCACAGTCTTTATCTCTGGGATGGGCTGTTCAGAGGACACATCCGGTCCCTTGGAAATATGGCAGGTATCTGGGTCACTATGGTCAGACAATTCAGCTGAAGCAATAATTTCCATGTGCTCAAAGAGAATCACATGCTGCTTATGAGCGCTCCCTCCTCTGTATTGCAGCTGGGGAGAGAAAATGACAGAGTCTGCCTTTGGCACTGATCCTCTCCAGCAGCATCTCCACCTCATGTAATAATAGCAGTCACCAGCTAAAGGGAGTGAAGAATGGAAGGCTGCAAGCCATGCAAGAAAAAGACTAATGGCCCTCAAGGATAATTCCATGTACTCGCTCTCTTGTTGCTGAAGAAACATTTTTAAAATGTAAATTAGAATTTTTACTTGCCTATGTGTCAAAGCACATGTGTAAATGTAGAAAACTTTGATAGTAAATTTTAAAGCTAACAGCTTTTAAAAGTAAACTGTTCTTTATATCCTGTATAAGTTATGTATTTAAAATACCTGGGTATTTGCAACTCCTGACAGCTTAAGTGCGTAGGAGGCATATTTCAATGTCTTGAATATCTCATTTGAAACATAATGGATTACTTCAGGCAGATAGTTGTTTCGGTGTTTCAATGTGGCAGAGAGAACATTACCTTCCAGTTTATTTCCCATTTGCAAATTCCCACCTGATGCTTCCTGCAAGCAAGATGCTTAGTTCAGTTCTTGAAGTCCATTCTATTTGGTCTATTGGTGGTTATTTTCCATCAGGAATCAGAACTCTCTTGTTCAAGACAAGAAAATGACCTGTGCCTTTTTTCCTCTGATTAAGTCCCCTGTTCAACCTTGACAGTGCCCGTAAAGCTGGGTAGTTCTGACCACCCTGGGCTGTGATACAGCCAGACACCAGCAGATGGAGCAGGAAAATGGAGAATCTCTGAGTTTGTTACCAATAAGGTTATGTTTAATAGAAGATACGCTTAATGTTTGAAAGAAGGATCATGATGCAGAGTAAAGATCTATGTATTGTGGTCAGCTTGACTGTACAAAACTTGAGCTGAGAGTAGGGGACAGAAAGAACACTCAAATAAGAATTAAAACAACCTTAGCAAAACAGGTTAAGAGCAAAGGCCTTAGTTTTAGAATACCTCTTGGTTAAGCTCCCCGGCTTTCTGTA